GATGACGCCTCGTTCCTACTTGACTTTGGGACAACACCGCAAGAACTGCATAGAATTGCGCCTGAGTGTCCCATTATATACTCTGTGCTCGACGCTGACACAGACAGGGAGATGGAAGGAGGGGGAGGGTGGGGTCGGAACGCCTAGTTAATCCTTCTCTTGTCCCCCCTCCTTCCTCTCTTCCTCTTCCCTCCGCTTCCCTCCCATCCTCTCTCCCTGAGGCTCCCTTGGAAACTCGGAATGGAGAACAGATAATTAATACGGTAGGAATAATTATCATTAATGTCATTATTACCGATGCTATTATTATGATCATCAGTTATATTATTATCTTTATTATCATTATCATCACTACTACTTCTACCATCGTGAAGGGAAAAAAACTCTATCGTTTGATACTTATAATAGAAAACCACACTGCATTGTGCAAACTAAAATCATTGAAGTGAGACAACAGTCTCGGTGGACGATTCCGAAACTGTTGTCTTGCTGACTTCAATAAATTTAGTTTGTGCATTGTTGTTTTTTTATACCACTACTACCATTACTGGTATTATCGTTATATCTGTTATTATTATTATTATTATTATTATTATTATTACTGTTATTCAGATTATCATTACCATGAATATTTTTTATGATTGTTAACATTGCTACAGCTACTACTATTATCATTATTATCACTTTATTGTTACCATTACCATATTCTCTTTTGGCGTTACCGATGTTATTTTTATTGTTGCTATTAATAATTCTTATTTTTACCTTTATCATTATCGTTGATATTATCATTATCACTAATATTATTGTCCTTATCATTTCTATTGTTATTATTTTTTATTGCCATCAAAAATATAATTAATATCATCATTGTTACCATTATTATCATTATCATTGTTGTATTTTATTACTATTAGTATGATCATCATTACAAGTAATATCATCATTATTATCATTATTGTTATTACTATTGATATCATTATCATTATTACCATTTTTATTAACAATTTCATTATTATCGTTGTTATGAATAGTAGCATTAGTATTAGTATTAGCAGCGTTCTATTCATCATTTTCATCTATTTATTGTTATCATTATCAACTCTTACATTATCATATTATTTTTCATTATCATTATTATTATTATTTCTATTATGAATCTTCTTATTGTTAATATCATTATTGTTATATTGTTATTATATCATGTATCATTATCACTATCATGGTTATCATCATCGTTATAATCATTATTATTATTATCATTATAATCATTATTCTTATCATCATTATAATCATTATTATTATCATCAATCATCAAATCATTTCATATCATTATCATTATTTATCATCACTATCAGTATGGTTATTATCATTTCCATAACATTGTTATCATTATCATTATCATCATTGTTATCATCATGTTTATAATTGTTTTTATTATTATCGTTATCCTATTATTATTATGAGTACTAGATATTGTAAGGATCAATAATAATTATATAATATCTATCATTATCATTATTATATTCATTTTCATTATTACTGGTGTCAATGACATGATTCATCATAATAATTTTTTGTTATCATTTTTTATGATAATTTTTATCGTTATGATTATCTTTAACATTATCATATTATCATTTCATTATTAGTATTGTTATTTTCATGATCATGATCATTAGGATTGCAATTCATATAATTATGATTACATTGTTATTATTGTTAATATTGTTTTTATTATCATTATCATTATTAACAGGTCTTTCTTACCATTATCCATATTATTACCATTATCAGAAATACCATTATTATTGCCAATCTGTTATGATAATTTTATCACTATAACTTTTATCATTTTCATATTGTTTATTCCATCATTATGCATATACGTGCATATATATTTGCATATATATCCATATGTATATATGTATATATTACATAAACGAATGGAATAAACGTTCGTTAGGGGGAAGCCAAAAGCCTTCCCAATCGCAGCACAAACAGGTAAGTGCTTATTCCTTCTGCCAGTTAAAATCGCTATTGTGCGTAATTGACTTTCTCTTCACGGTATGGGAAAGCTGTTGGCGCGAATAATAATGCCTGCACACACACACACACACACATATATATAAACACTGAATACACCTACAAACATACCAACCTACATGCAAAGACACGTGGACAAACACCCTCTTACATATACACTCTTTCTCTCTCTTCCTTTTACCTTCTAAGTTTCATTTTTTCTCTCTCCCACATACTCATTCGCGGCCATAGCTACACATATATACATGGGTTTTGTTACAAGTACTTCATTATGCGAATATATACATTTAAAAAAACAGGATACCAAGAATAACAACTGCTTCGGTAATTCATTTATTTGAAGATATTGTCCTTATGAATAGCTATCGATCTTAGTTAATAACATATTGTTTATTCCATAATTAGGGAAACCAGTTCTTCCATGGACATTTTGTCATTTCGGGGCAACTCATCATCTTCGTCAAAGATTTGTTGTTCCTGTCGAGGCTCCTCATCGACAGGCCTTTCTCGCCCATGGTTGTTCCATGGGCGGCGTGGCACTGAAGTCCTCCTCGCGTTCAACGTCTTCTCGGAAGAGGTCAGAGGCGCAACCCACACTCTCCGAAGGAGGCCGCTCAGCTGCTGTTCGCTGAGGGAACATTTGGGGAACAGCTTATTGCAGACGGACGGGTCGCGGGTCTTTGTGCCGACGTCCGTGGCGTAGACGAAGGCGGCGTTGTAGGAGACATGGTCTCAGTGTTGTTGGAGAACATGTCGACGATGAGGTCCTCCTCTGGCGTGAGGCTGGAGGGACTCCTCGTCTGGAGGTTGCAGAGCATCTTGAGGATGCAGCCGTCGGGGTCGAGTTGCCCCACGGTGGACAGGAGCATGTTCTTGCCTTCATCGGCGTCTTGTTCGGTGTCGGGGTCGACGGAGCGGCCGTAGCGATAGTGTCTTCTCCCGCTATAACCTCCGAGATATCGAGAACGGCCGTGATAGTGCCGTCTGTTGTACCGCTGATGACGCCCTACCGCGTAATCTACCAGCGCCGCGCCCTTCAGAATCGCCAAGCCACCCACTACGCCACCAACGGACAGAGAGGCTTCGCAGGACATAACGGCCCAAGACACCAGCAGGATCGCCAAAGGGAGGTTTCGTGAGTGCATCTGCGAAGGAGAATGGTGTTTATTGCGTCTCATTTTAAGCATCAGCACCTGTGGGTGCATTTGTATGTGTGCAAATTGTAAAAGTATCAAAATAGAATACATTATAATCATATATAATAATTGTCACCATAGTGATAATATTGCTAATGATTTATATTAAACTCACGCACACTAGTTATATCTTTATTATATGTGTAAGCATATTGATGATAATATCGATAAGAATTGTATAATAGTTATAAGGCATTAACGGCAGCGACTATGCAATTAAGTTGGTATAACCACTGGAAGTTTGTATATATATACTATTTAATAAATCCATGTATCAATATATAAGCTGTCGTTTAACTTGACAACTGAGACGAGCTGATGTCACAACTGACCTGAACTGAGATTTCTTGGCAAAATGACACAGATTGACACAAGTGACACTTTTTCGAAGTGAATAATTGGATGTAGATTGGATTATAAGTATATGCAACTAACTGACACTTGCAAATCTTCCATGGATTCTTCATGAGTGAAAGTATAATTTCATTTATTTGAAACTATATGGCGGAAGGTAAATCGCCGAATGATCGTCCAAATCACGTTTGGACAAAGAATTAAGGGTCAATTTCTGAAGACACGAAGGGATATATATATACATACATGTATGTATCCATATATATATATATATACATAAATATATATATACATATGTATGTATATGTATATATACACGTTTGTGTGTCTATATATACGAGTACTTACGTATATATATGCATATATAGACATATATATATATATATATATATATATATATATATATGTGTGTGTGTGTGTGTGTGTGTGTGTGTGTGTGTGTGTGTGTGTGTGTGTGTGTGTGTGAACACGGAAATTAACAAGTTTCCTGAGACTTTAAATAACGCACGCGATGACGGTCGTTCCTACCTTGACTTTGGGACAACACCGCAAGAACTGCATAGAATTGCGCCTGAGTGTCCCATTATATACTCTGCGCTCGACGCTGACACAGACAGGGAGATGAAGGAGGGGGAGGGTGGGGGTCGGAACGCCTAGTTAATCCTTCTCTCTTGTCCCCCTTCTTCCTCTCTTCCTCTTCCCTCTGCTTCCCCTCCCCATTCTCTCTCCCTGAAGCTCCCTTGGAAACTCGCAATGAACGGATAATTAATATGCTAGGAGTAATTATCATTAATGTCATTATTACCGATGCTGTTATTATGTTTATCAGTTATATTATCGTTATTATCACTACCATCATTACTACTACTACTACCATTATGAATGGAAAAAAAAACTCTGTCTTGTTGATACTTCTGGTAGAAAAGCCACACTGCACAAACGGAATTTATTGAAGCGAGTGAGACAACAGGTCGAAGGACGATTCCGAACTGTTGACTAATCAGTAAATCTGGCATGTGCATTGTTGTTTTTTCTACCACTACTACCATCACTGATATTATCGTTATATCTATTATTTTATTATTATTATTACTGTTTTGATTAAGATTATCATTACCATGAACATTTTTCATGATTGTTAACATTTCTAAAGCTACTATTATCATTATTATCACTGTCTTGTTACTATTACCATATTCTCTTTTAGCGTTACCGATCTTATTTTCATTGTTGCTATTGATAATTTTTATTTATTTTACCTTTATCATTATCGTTGATATTATCATTATCACTAATATTATATTCCTTATCATTGCTTTTGTTATTATCTTTATTGTCATCATTAATATCATTACTACTATCACTATTACTATTATCATCATTATCCTTATTGCTATTGTATTTTTCAGTTTGTATTATTATTACTATTAGTATGATTATCATCATTACAATATCATCATTATTATCATTATTGTTATTACTATTGATATCATTATCATTATTACCATTTTTATTAACAATTTCATTATTATCGTTATGAATAATAGCATTAGTATCAGTATTAGCAGCGTTCTATTCATCATTTTCATCTTTTTATTGTTATCATTATCAACTCTTACATTATCATTATCATTATTATCATATTTATTTTCATTATAGTTATTTTATTCTTATTATCATAATTCTTCTTATTATCATTATTATTATTATTATCATTATATTATTATCATTATTATTGTTATCAATATTATTATCATTATCAGTATCATCGTGGGTATCATCATCGTTATTATTATCATTGTTCATTATAATCATTATTATCATCATTGTTATCATTAAAATCATTATCATTATCATCATTATTATGATCACTATCAGTTGGTTATTGTTATTTCCATCAACATTGTTATTATCATTACATATATTTATAATTTTGTTATTATCATCGTTATCCTATTATTATTATGAGTACTAAATGTTGGAAGAATCAAAATAATAATGATAATAATATCTATCATTATCATAATTATATTCATTTTCATTATTACAGGTATCAATGACATGATTCATCATAATCATTTTTCGTTGTCATCATTTTTGTTATGATAATTTTTATCGTTATGATTATCTTTTACTAACATTATCATATCATTTCATTATTAGTATTGTTATTTTCATGATCATTATTAATGTTTTATCATTATCCTCATTATTTCTACCATTATTATAAAAAGCATTATTATTGCCAGTCTGCTATGATCATTTTATTATTATAATTTTTATAATTTTCATCTCGTTTATTCCTTCATTATCTATCATATACGTGCATATATATTTGCATATATATCCATATGTATATATGTATATATTACATAAACGAATGGAATAAACGTTCGTTAGGGGGAAGCCAAAAGCCTTCCCAATCGCAGCACAAACAGGTAAGTGCTTATTCCTTCTGCCAGTTAAAATCGCTATTGTGCGTAATTGACTTTCTCTTCACGGTATGGGAAAGCTGTTGGCGCGAATAATAATGCCTGCACACACACACACACACATATATATATAAACACTGAATACACCTACAAACATACCAACCTACATGCAAAGACACGTGGACAAACACCCTCTTACATATACACTCTTTCTCTCTCTTCCTTTTACCTTCTACGTTTCATTTTTTCTCTCTCCCACATACTCATTCGCGGCCATAGCTAAACATATATACATGGGTTTTGTTACAAGTACTTCATTATGCGAATATATACATTTAAAAATTACAGGATACCAAGAATAACAACTGCTTCGGTAATTCATTTATTTGAAGATATTGTCCATATGAATAGCTATCGATCTTAGTTAATAACATATTATTTATTCCATAATTAGGGACACAGTTATTTTTGTCATTTCGGAATCACGGTCGGGATTTGTTGTTCCTGTCGAGGCTCCTCATTCCGTTCTTCGCCCATGGGTTGTTCCATGGGCGGCGTGGCACTGAAGTCCTCCTCGCGTTCAACGTCTTCTCGGAAGAGGTCAGAGGCGCAACCCCACACTCTCCGAAGGAGGCCGCTCAGCTGCTGTTCGCTGAGGGAACATTTGGGGAACAGCTTGTTGCAGACGGACGGGTCGCGGGTCTTTGTGCCGACGTCCGTGGCGTAGACGAAGGCGGCGTTGTAGGAGGACATGGTCTCAGTGTTGTTGGAGAACATGTCGACGATGAGGTCCTCCTCTGGCGTGAGGCTGGAGGGACTCCTCGTCTGGAGGTTGCAGAGCATCTTGAGGATGCAGCCGTCGGGGTCGAGTGCCCCCCATGTTCTTGGGGCGTCTTGTTCGTGTCGGGGTCGACGAACGGCCGTAGCGATAGTGTCTCCCGCTATAACCTCCGAGATATCGAGAACGGCCGTGATAGTGCCGCCTGTTGTATCGCCGGTGACGCCCTACCGCGTAATCGACCAGCGCCGCGCCCTTCAGAATCGACATGCACCACCACTAAGCCACCAACGGACAGAGGCTTCGCAGGACATGACGGCCCAAGACACCAGCAGGATCACCAGGGGGAGGTTTCGTGCGTTCATCTGTCGAAGGAGAGTGATAGTGTTTGTTTCGTTTCATTAACGCCTGTGGGTGCATTTGTACATGTGCAAGTTCATTGGTGTGGGTTTGCACGTGTGTGAATGTAAGAAATACGATTTGTTTGCGATGATGGTGGTAATGATAATGATAAAGATGGAAATCAAGAGTTATAATGGTAACAGTCCTTATTATTATTATGATATTATAAAGGTAATAATGATATTATAAAGGCACATTGATAATATTGATAATGACTAGGATAAAAATGATCAGCAGTAGCGAACGTGGAAATAAACTGATTTAAGAACTGAATGTTTGTTTTACCTTAAAACACAACACTTAAAGTCCATTAACACGAGCTACCTTGGAATCCGTTATAAAATCAGGAGTAAGTTTGTGCGCGACAAATACTACGCTCGAACGGAACAGGAATGGTCAAGGAGCTGGGCTTACGAGTCAAGAATCATGGTCACATGGTTCTCTACATTTAACGTCCTTTGCTTGGCTGAATACGTGATTAAATACAAGTCAAGAAGTGCCCACTAGCATTCCATTAATGTTAAAAGTCCATATGGCAGACTCCACAATGAAAAATATTTCTCATCTGTATTTGTAAACGATATACACGTCACCTACTCTACCGTAGCGTTTGTGCGCCACACGAAGAATGCAAATTCCGTTGAAATTTCTTCATAGATTACTTGACACAACTGACACATGTTAACGTAAACGACGCATGACTGACGTGTCTTGACAAAAGTGACACCAAATGACACAACTGTAAATGCATCCTACTAATGCATATATACACAGTTTCCATGGCTTCTCCATGAGTGCAAGTATAATTTTCTGCCTAACATTATGACCAAATGTGGCGAAAGGTAAATGTCCACAAAATCGTCCAAATCGCGTTTGAGGACGAAGACTTAGCGGTCGATTCCTAAAGGCACGAAGGGACATCTACGTCAACTTGCAAATGGTTCAAAGTTGATTATATATATATATATATATATATATATATATATATATATATATATATATATATATATATATATATATATCTGTGTGTGTGCGTGCGTCCGTGTGTGCATGTGCATGTTGTGTGTGCGAGCTCGAAAGGTCCCTCCTCCCTGAAGCGTTAAAAAGCGCACAAGATGGCTACAATTGGTCTTACTTTGCCTCCGGGACTACACCGCAAGAACTGCTTAGAATCGAGCCTCAGTGTCCCATTATATACTCTGTGCTCGACGCTTACACAGGGAGGGAAATGGAAGGCGTGGTGGGGGGGGGGGAGGGGTTCTCGGAAACTCCTAATTAATCCTTCTCTTACTCCTTCCTCCTTCCTCTATCCCTCCCCATCTCTACCCCCCTCCCCCGGCTCCTTTGCAAACTTACACTGGAGAACAAGCAAGGAATGCAGTTGGTGGGGGAGGGGAGGGGGGGGGGCGCGAGAGGGAAAGGGGAAAACTAATTATTTGCTTTTGCGGTTTGAGTAAATTATGGTACTGGAATGAGTTTATACGAAAAGGTGTTCTAAAAATAGGTCTATTTTTGTAATAATTTGTATAAGGGAATGTTATCAGTGCTATTATCTTCATTGCCATTATTATTTTTGTTGTTATTATTGTTACTATTGCTATCAATATTATTGTCATTATTGCTATATTGTTTCGATATTTTTTATTATTTTCATTATCAATGCATTTAAAGTAATAAATATTATCATAATCTGTTATTATAATCATTGCCTTTAATGTTATAACTATCATCGTTTCCATTATTACTATTCTTATTACTACTAATATTAATATTATTATCATTATAATCGTTATCATTACTATCATTATCATTTTCACAAACATTATTGTTATCATCATTATTATTATCATTGACACTTATTGTTATTATCATATTGGTCATTTTCATCGTTATTTTTAAAGATTATTATTCTTATTTGTATTATTATTATTA